TTTTTTCATTAAGAAAAAAAGCAACAGCTGGCGCCCCAAACAAAATGTGCACCATATACATGAGCGTTTTATTCTACCTTCATGCCTTGACCCTAGTATCAGCCTCAGAAGAAGGGGCCTCCAGATGTCGGTCCGAAAGGGAAAGGAGGCATAGATATTGCTCCACTTATCACACCTAGGCTCTCCAGTTCAGCGGCCAGTTATAGGCAATCCAAATTTACGCCCGAGAGCGCAAATTTACGCCAACGGTCCGGCCTGATCCCTATTGGGACAAGCTGCATACGATACTAAACTGCGCGCATGCCTACACATTTCCTTTATGTGACCAGACCTCAAGGATTACACAATATGTACGTCACACTCTGCGTCATATTGGCTATTTCCTATGTACGTAATTCACAATAAACACCAACCACCACAGGGATCGGTTCTGACCAAATCCGCTGCCTGTGCGCTTTCTGCTGCGCAAATTCCTAAAGAGATTCCAGTAAGTTGATTGAGCAGCATTATCTTGTGAACAGTACCTTTTCAGAGCGCTTTCCAATGGTTAGTTGGTTAAACACGTCTTTTAAACGACGTAGTTCTTCTTTTTCCTGTTCAACTTGTCTTTGAAGTGAGAAGATGGCAGAAGAGACCTTCTCAACTTCATCCTGAACCGAATTTTTCCTGAAGCCTTGGGATTTTCCTGCGCTTAGAACACTCACCACCATCGGCAACACATCTTGCCCTGCTAAGCCCAAAAAGAGAAACAGCCAGATTGTCATACCCACACCGCATAGAATCACAAAAAATAACTTTGTAGCTTTCATTGTGTCCAGATCTGTAAAAACAAGTTTTCACGAGAGATATTTAAGTAGAAGCACGAATGAAAAGTTCGAAATGTTTATGCCAGCTAGAATCAATGATGGATGTTCTGTAGTATAAGTTCCAAAAAGTCCCGAAACTGCAGCTCTGTATGTTTTGCAAACAAGCTGTGCAGCTGTAGGTAGCGTATAGATCATTTATGAAACGACAATGATTTGGCTGGTACATGGTTCATGATATCCCATGATCGACTCTCCATAAATCTTG